GGGTAGACAGTAGCTGCCAGCTTGATCTGCCCACTAGGGAAGGTACTGGGTAGACCCACTGTGCACTCTTAGAGCCCACAGTCCAGGAATGATGGGCAGAAGGATTAGCATTATGGATGTTGTAGGACCCAGGAAGTAACTTTAGGAGTAGCTATTGGCCAGATTTGAGCCCACAGTAAGGATTGTCAGGCTTCAGAGAAACTGAAGTGGATGGGAAAGTCCAAGGCCCTGTCCAGCCATCCATCTCACCCTCTGCTCCCTCCTGCAGATCGAGGCGCTCCCCCCAGAGCTCTTCCAGTGTCGCAAGCTGCGGGCTCTCCACCTGGGCAACAATGTACTGCAGTCACTGCCCTCGAGAGTGGGTGAGCTGACCAACCTGACACAGATTGAGCTTCGGGGCAACCGGCTGGAATGCCTGCCCGTGGAACTGGGCGAGTGCCCGCTGCTCAAGCGCAGTGGCCTGGTGGTGGAGGAGGACTTGTTCAGCACGCTGCCACCCGAGGTGAAAGAACGGCTCTGGAGAGCTGACAAGGAGCAGGCCTGAGCACAGCCTGGAGGAGCAGCAAGGACCCTCAGTGCGCCCTCAGGCCAAGGGGCAACCGAGCTCTCCAAGACTGCTGGACAGCCAGCTGGGTCCAGATAGGCAGAGCCCGCGCCAGGCATGAACTGAGCCGCGGCAGAAGACCGGGACTGAGGGCTGGTCCCTTTCCTCCCTCTGGGACTCATACACCCAGGGCAGATACTTGCTGGAGACCAGAGTCTCTGAGACTAGTTTTGGAGTACAGTATTTGGACAGTCAGGGTGTTCACCTTAGAGGCCATCTTTGCCTCAGAGGCTGAGCCAGCAGCAGAGGCCCCAGGACAGTAACCTAGATCTGGGTGTTCTTTTCCACTCCCATCTCCTCTGTGCAAGATAACTTACACATTCCCAACAAGGTTTGCCTCTGGGAAGTGTCTAAGCAACCTAGCAGTGTTCGCCTTCTTTGGGTGATGCTGACAGAATCATGTGCCCACCCAGACTTGGGCATGTTTGGGTAAGGTGAGCCAGCTGCAGGACGGTCGCCTTATTGGCACTGGACTAGCCTCTGGCAGCAAAGCTTGTGGGAGATCAGGCCTCCAGGTGGAAAGGTCAGGCCTGGGGCTGGCCCCATCAGTTTTTGAAGCAATTTTAGATTTTTTTTTTTTTTTAAGCTTTGAAAATGATGGTTTGGGTATTAAAAAACAAAAACAAACAAACAAACAAAAAACTTAAAAAAAAAAAAAAAAAAGACACTAAAGGCCAGTGAGTTGAAGTCTCAGGGTGGGTGGTATTTCCCCTTGAGCAAAGCAGCAAGACATTGAACGAAATTTCCTGTCCTTTGGGTGTGGGCCAGGATGTCTTCCCAGTCTGTCCTGACCTTGGTCCAGAAGTGCTGTTTGTTCTCTTCTCCTGCTGTTTGCTTTTAGATTTTTTTTTTTTTTTTGGTGTTTTGTTGAATTTTTTACTCTCCTCCATGGGTCTTGGCAGGCACCCTTTTCATGGCTGTCAGCCAAAAGGAAGGCTCTGGAGCTGCCAAGAAGGGAGGAGACTTGGTCTGGCTAATCCCCAGATGAACGGTGCTCCATCCCCCCATGCCCTCCCAATTCCCCTCCATGCACAGTGTTAAGGAGCCCAGAGCAGCTGCTTCCCCCAGACCCTGCCCCCACGTCATGTGGGTTTGCTCATTGCCACCATGCACCTCTCTGCTGCTTACACTGGCTCTGTCACCATTGGTCCTCCGTGAAGAGCAGACACTTAGAGGCAGGCTGGGCATGGAGAGTTCACCACTGGGAGGGCAGGCTCCCCAGTTTTGGGTTCCAGGACAGTTCTGATACTGGGCACCTGGTTTGCACACAGTACAGCTAGCACTTAGTGGTGGTAAGCCACTCTGCTTTAGCTCAATCACTAGGATCCCCACTTCAGAAGGGTCCTCGCCTTAGATCAATCACATGGACACTAAGGCACGTTTTAGCGTCTCTTGTCTTAACTAGTATGTCTGTCTCCGTCCATTTGTGTTTTCTGCGCCGTGTCGTTGGATGTAACCCTTGGAAACACTGCACACTAGCCTCTGACAACCATGAAGCAGTCCGTTACACATGGGTCTGACTTGTAGACTCAGTTCAGATATCAAATAAATCTATAACACAATTGCCTTTGGAGGTCTCCATGCCATAGAACGTGGGTTTGTCCCTTCTCTGACGTGTTTTGGTCCGGACTAATTGTTGAGGGACCATTTCTTGGGCACCTACAGAGTAGCTCTGTTTACCTCTCTACCCTGTGAAACTTGGAGGCAGTTGCTGGATGCTATGAGCCAAGCAGAGCACCTGTATGCTGCAGGCATGGTTCCTGACCAGGGGTCATGTGGTCAGCACATTTTCTGTTGTCCCAAGCGCCTGTTGTTTGGGTGCTTGTGAGCTTTGATTAGTTAGGGCTGGAAGAGGCATCATCCAGAATGGGAGCCAGAAGTCCTTGTTCCAGCCTGGTTTTCTTGTGCATGAAGCTAAGCCCATCTCTTCCTGCTTGTGCATCTTGGGTGTCTCCATGCTGCTTTCCGAAGATGCGTGGGGTTCCAACACCCAAGTCTCCATTGTTTTGCAAAGGTAAGGCTGGCAGTCACCACGGGGAGGCCTCCCTGGCTCCCAGCCCCTTTGGGGTCAAGGGCAGAGGCTCTGAGAGGTAGGACTGTCTTCAGATCTTAGCTCTACTGAGACTGTAGTTCCCTTTAATTTTTGTTTGTGTTCTCTCTCCCTCATTGGAATAATTATGGTACTGCAGGCTTATTTAAAGGAGCCGTGGTTATATAGTGTCCACTCTACTCTCCATCATCACTGTAGTACCTAAGAATGGTGTATGGGTTACAGAGAGGACAGGAGTCATTGCTAGGAAAGGAGCCAAGGCCTCAAACATGCTGAACTGGTGTCCCGTTCACCCAGTGAGCTGCACGTCACAGCCCTGGATTAATCTGTAGAGGAATACTTCTTTAGGTTTACAGTTGCAGAGGCTAGAAGGCCAGGGTCTGAGGACCACCCAGTGAGGAATACATACTATTTCTGAATGTCACAGGACTTGGGAGCTTCAGGGCCAGCCTGTCCCCATTCGTGAGGGTGGACTGAAACACTTCCCATTATGCCCTACCTCCCTGCGCTGTTGAATTCAGTTAAGCATCTAAACCAGGTGCAGCACAGACCTGTAATCTCAGATCTGGAAGTTGAGTCAGGAAGAACTGCAAGAAAGCCAGAGCCAGTGTGGGCTATATATTTTCCCTGCCAGACTTACAAAAGTGGCGAGGACCACTTTATGGTTTATCAGAATAAGTGGAACTAAGTTTTTAGTGATGGATTCGGAGTTACAAGCCCAGCCATAGCATGTACAGTCGGTAGTCTCCCACCTTCCTTCTGGACCATCAGGAGTACTTACCTCACAAGTATTGAGGTGAGCAAGAGACCAAAGTGTAACCTTAGAAAGGAGGCCTAAACTGCTTGGGCAGGTTTTCTGGAACTGACTGGAGCCTGTCTCCTTGCCCAACAGGCACTGACCCCTCAGACCTAAGTCAAAATTCCCTCTACCTCTTCTCTGTGCCCTTGAATTTCTAGCAGATAGGGAGGCTGAAGAGCGGGGGAGGAGCAGCACTCACAGAAAGACCCCCTTAACTCAAGGTGGAGAGCTTCCTGTCTGGTCTGGTCTGATCTGATCCCTTCCCCACCCACTGCCCCTACCCGGCCCTGGGGTAGGAGTGGAATTTCTGGAGAGACCTTCAGGCCTATGCCTCAGACCTGGAGAATTCAATCTGGAACTGGTTAGCTTTTGAGAAAAAGTTATGTGGAAACACCACCCACCCTCCCTTAAGGCCAGCATAAGGAATAGAATAGAGGCCCCTTCCTCCCCACCCAGGCCTCTCCACTCTAGCTCGAACCTCAATGCTGGTCTAAACCCTACTTACAAAAGCAACTTAGAACCTTTGGAGAAACTGAAGAACAGTTTTAAAAACAAAATACTTCAACTCCCTGACACCCACACCCCGCCCCTACCCTGCTAGCTTTGTGTGAACCAGTTGGGAGGCACTTTCTAGGTGGCCCCAGGCCGAGCTCCTTATCAGTGGTGACTGGTACTTGCTATTCCCTAGGTCCTGTTATCACCAGCTGCAGAAAGAAAGGATTAGAATGGAAGCACAAGTCTGGCCCACCTCTGCCCCCACTTTGGTGAAGTCCCCAGGCCATTGCTGGCTCAGCAGTTGGGGCCCTCTCTGCCCCTGGGGCTTGTTCCTGGAACTTGGTTGAGTGTCTGTTTTTGCTCAGCTGTTGCATCAGAAAGGACAAGTTCTGCATGGCCTGCCTTGTGACTCTCCCGGGTTGTCTCCAGGCCTTCCTCAGCCTTACCCCAGAGAATTTCCATCAGCCCCAGGGTCCAGTAGGCAGATCCCTCACTGGCTTTCTTGAGGCCTGGAAAGCCTAGACAGAGCAGTAGCTCCTAGTGTTATGGCCCAGAAAACTTGATATAGAGCCAAGACTCTTGACAGCCAGGCACTGTCCCCTCGCTTACACCAGAGACACTCCCTTGGCTGTTCAAAGCACCATTTCTGGGAAGGCCAGTGGACATCTTTTCAGAGGCCAATGTCCCTGTCAGCCGCAGAGCCAGCAGGTGGTTCTGACGGACCAGTCATCCTGGCTGTAAGGCTGGAGAGCTTTCTGAGGCCTGGAGTTTCTGTTCCCTGCGACCCCCCTCACCTGCCCTCTCTTAACACCTCTCCATAGGCTTTCTCCCAGCCCTCCCAGAGGGCTCGGATCAGAGCTGGAGGCCCCTTTGGCCTTCACAAAGCCACTCAGGACCCAGGCCCTGCAGTCCCGTGGATTTCCCTCCCCCTTTAGGGTAAATTTAGATCCTGTGATGGGGACTTCCTAGCCTTTATCTTCCTCTTACTAGTGGAGACTTAAGTGTTCTGGCAGTCTGCTGCCTGCCCCCACACTAAATAGCACACTTCCCAGTACTGCCCAGGAGTGGATTCTAGAGAGAATCAAGGGATCATAGACTGACCACAAAGGGAAATAGGTGAGAGCCAGCCCTGGATTAACTGGAAGCTGGTTGGGCAGAACCCAGCCCCCCTTCCAAGGTCAGAAATAGGGGAGGAGGCCCTGGGTGGAAGGCACAGGCTGGGTTTGTTTGCGAGGGTGGAGCAGTGGGATTGACTATGTTCTGGGTAGGGAAGGGTTAAATCCTCTGGGCCTCAGTCACCAGGTCTCTCCCCTCCTATCCAGCTCTGGAATCAGCAACCCAAGCCAACAGTTTCCGGCAGCATTCCCCATGGCCTGCCTGAGTCCCTCCCAACTCAAGAAGGTAGGGGCCTGTGGCTGGGAGGGTCACACAAGGAGGCGCAGATCTCTAGTGACCTGTGCACAACCCCTGACATTTCACAGAGGATAGTGGGTTCCCTGGGCAGAAACCCTAACTTCTGACATAGCCAGATCACGGCCACCCCAGGTCGGGTATGGTGGGGATTGGGGGATAGGAGGCAGAGAACCAGAATTCAGATTAGCCAGTCCAGCCGTAAGGGGCCTGTGGGTGAAGGCAGAGAACCTGGCTGGGACAGGATAGGTCAGTCACTTTAGGAACAGCTACCGTGTATGGGTTGGACTGCGCACACTTCAACCACCCATAAATTCCGATAACAAGACTGTTGATGTTGTAGATCTAGCCTTGGGATTCTTTTCAATCAAAGCGCCTCCTGGAGCTGTGTAGTTGAGTACACAGTTGTGTAGCTCAGTACTTGAGTGTTTGCTGGAGGCTCCGAGTTTCATTCAACACACGCTCACATTCACACTCAGACACACACATCACAAACACACAGATAAACCACACAGCCGCAGTCACAGAAACAGACACTAACAAAGATTCACACACACACACACACACACACACACACACACACAACTCCTGACAGCTGCCACTGTTGCTGATGTTCTTAAATTTTATCTGGCTAAATACTGACTAGAAGTCAGCCTTTTTTTTTTTTTTTTTTTTTTTCTATCTCACAGTATATCCGGGAACAGAGCCCCATGTATGATTTTTGCTGAGTTTTTGTTCCGTTTTTTGTGATTCTGACTGGAATTGAAGGCCTCCCATATGATAAGTCAAAGTTCTGGTTTGTTGTTGTTTTGTTGAGACCATGTCTTCCTGTGTAGCCCTGTCTGGGCTGGAACTCGGTATATAGACCAGGCTGCCCTCCAGCTCACGGAGATCTGTCTGCCTCCGCTTCCCTAGTGCTGGGATTAAAGGGCCACCATGCCTGGCCATACTTAGATCTTTGCTCTCTGACCCCTAGTTGTTAGTTTTGTTTTGTCTTTAGTGCTGGGGACTGAAGCTACAGCCTTGTACACGCTAGGCAAGGGGCACCCCAGCCACGAGGCATGCTTTCTTACCTTATGTCTCTCAGAATAAAAGATCTGGGGCTACATCAGAATAAGCCATCTGGGTTCACCCCCACTATCCCCCAACTACACTTAGGAGAAAGCCCAGCTCCTTGTCTGGCCAGGCCCTGCCTCCCTCCTGTCTATTCCTCCAGCCCTCCCCTCACCTTGAGCTCCAGCCCTTACCAATTTCTCATGTTCTTCCAGAGCCCGGAGGCTTCACAAATCCTGTTGTCTGTCTGCAGTGGTCCTTCCTATCTCTTTGCTTCCCAATATCCTTCAGTTTTCATTAAATCCACTTCCTCAAAGCTGCCCTTTGACCTTCCACCTCATTAGATTCTCAGCCTTTAGTTCTCAAAGCCTGCCCCTGTGTCCCTGTACTCAGCATAATGTGGGATGGTGTGTTTGCCTGATGATTAGGGACACATGTGTGTGTCTCCTTCACTGGACTAGAGATTGTGTGAGGGTGGCTTGTTCATACCATAGGTCTGTCTGCTAGAACTGTCTCACATACTCAGCGCGTAGTCAATACTGGGATAGCCGGATGTCATGGCGCACACCTGTAATGCCAACATTCAGGAGGATCTTGAGTTTGAGGTCTCCCTGGGCTACACAAAGAAACCCTGTCCGCAAACAAACTCGGGACCCAGAGATGTGGTTCAGTGGTTAAGAGCACTTATGCAATCCTGAAGACCAGAGTTCGAATCTCAGTGTCCACTTAACAAGCTGCACACACCTGTAACCCCATCTTGTAGGTGGAGACAGGACTGCTAGGGCTGACCAGCCACCAGGTTCAAGGACAGCCCCTGCCTCAGGGATAAATAGAGTGGTAGAGGAGGATATCTAATGTCCTCTTCTGGTGTCCCTGCACGTTTGTAAAAGTGCACACCTGTTCGCAGCGTGTGGTGCTGCACGCCTGTACTCCCAGCACTCAGGAGGCAGAGGCAGGCAGACTGCTGTGAGTTCGAGGCCAGCCTGGTCTACAGAGTGAATCTAGGATAGCCAAGGCTACACAGAGAAACCCTGTCTCGAAACAAACAAAAAGGTGTACACCTGCAAGTTCACACATGTGTTCCATACTCGCAGTGACACATCTACACATAAGTAAGCAAAAAAAGTTGTGGTTTCCATATGTCCCAAACCCATTGGAGGCCAAGAGCAGAGGCCACTGCCCCTACCCTTCTTCTCTCAGATCCAAGCAGCCAGTACTAACTGCTCCCCAGGGAACAGACACCCGTATCCAGGATGGGGACGAAACAGTGAGCAGGCCGCTGGATCTCGGTCAAACTGGATCACAAGGAATGGCTGAGGGCGGAGGGACTCTTGTTTCTACCTGCAGTACCAGGAGGATGGGTTTCTGCTGTTGGAAGGATTCTTGACAGCAGATGAGTGTGCGGCCTTGCAGCAGAGGATTGGGGAGATCGTGGCCGAGATGGACGTCCCTCTGCACTGCCGTACAGAGTTCTCCACCCAGGAAGACGAGCAGCTTCGAACTCAGGTGGGCAATGAGAATGAGAGGACCCTGAGGCCGCAGGCTTCTGATAGGTGATTAGACCTCAGCCATCTGCGTGCCAGGTCCCATCAGCCTGCGAGTATGCTGTATCATTCCTCCCCGGGAGTTTATAAGGTGGGTTTTGTTCTCATTTGACAAATTGGAAAAGCAAGGCTTTTCTTTAGGTAATAATACTGTGTTGTTCCAACCACATAGTTTGTAACTGATAGAGCCAGGACTTAAACCCAGCTCTCAGGAGGTGCTGGTCTTTGACCTGCTGTGGTTTCTCAAGTTCTCTGGTCACAAAGAACCTTCTGTGACCAGACAGGCTTGGGATGGTCCACTCTTGGGTGAGTCATCCCCCAGTCAGACTGGGAAGGCCAGATTCTTCCTCACACTCAATGCGGTGTGACAGGATAGGTGGTTCTTCCACCCAGCTCCCTTAACCCTTCTTAGTCTGGATTTCTAAGGGTCCAGGTAACAGGGCGCACTCATACTCATGCCAAGGAGCTTCTGCCATCTGGTGGGCATAAACAGAATTACAAAAGCCAGAAACTGCCTTTTCCAGGAGAGGGAAAGATGGAGTCTTCCTAAAACACAGAACAGACTAAGTTTTGTTTGTTCGTTTGTTTTGTTTTGTTTTCCTTTTCCAAATAGGATACACATACTTTAAGGAGTGAGGGAGCTGAATCTTGTCCCCTTTCCCAGCTGTCTACTGGAAAGACTGCAACAGTCAAGTAGATAGCAGTAGTAGGAAGCTTGAAAGAAGAGAGGTAGGACTGGAGAGATGGCTCATTAGTTGAGAGCACTGGTTCCTCTTCCAGAGGACCAGGGTTCAATTCCCAGTTCCTTCTCACTTGGCAGCTCATAGCTACCTGTATCTCCAGTTCCAAGGGGCCCAATACTCACGTCCAGATATACATGTGGGCAAATTCACAATAAACACCAGTTCACATAAAATAAAAATTAAGGGAGAGAGGGGCCCCCTGATAATGCACACCTTTAGTCCCAGCACTCAGGGGGCAGAGTCTGGATCTCCTAAAACCTCTGAGTTTTAGGCCAGCCTATTCTACAAAGTGAGTTCCAGGGCAGCCAGAGCTGTTATACGGAGAAACCCTGTCTCAAAAAACAAAAAAGAAGAGGAGGAGGAGGAAATGGTATTGTGGTTTCTGGAAACTTGTTGCAGGATATTTGATCCCGTTGTGAACCCAGAGATTGTGAACTGTAAAAACCTGTTTCTTGTTTGGTGTGGCTCAGCCCTAACACACACCTTTAAATTAAAAACAGAATGTTCAGCCAGGTGCGGTGGTACACACCTGTAATCCCAGCACCGATGGAGGCAGAGGCAGGTGGATCTCTGTGACTTTGAAGCCAGCCTGATCTATAAAGTAAGTCCAGGACAGCCAAGATTACACAGAGAAATCCTGTCTTGGAAAAAAAAAAAGTCTTTTTCCTTCTGGGATGTCAGCTGAGTAAGAAGTAGGCTGCTTTCTCTGCTTCTCTGAGCTAGCTTTACCCCAGCATCTGGCTACTGAGTCTATTGGTAAAATAGAATGATTGGGATTTTACTGTTTTAAAAACAGCAGATATTTTAAAAAAATCTGTGTAGGTCCTGTTGGCATGCAAGTTGTGCACAACAAGGTGTAGTGCAGGGGGAGGCCAGAAGAGGCTGTCCAATCCCGAGACCGAAGTTACAGAAACTTGTGAGCTGCCATATGGGTGCTGGGAAATGAAGCTGGGTACTTGGGAAGAGAAGCCAGGGCTCTTTACCACTGAGCTATCTTTCCAGCCCTAAGAAGCCATACGGTTTCAGCACCACTGTGCATTTTAACGTTGCTTCTTGCGCTGGTGACACAGCCTCAATGCCGTGTGGAGGCAGGGGCGGCGCCTCCCGCAGGGGAAACAACGAAGTCCTATAGGGTACGTGCTGCCAGCAGTTTTCAGGCAGAACGCTTACTTGTTTGTTTTGATACAGGGTCTTACTCTATGGCCTTTCTGTCCTAGAATTGGCTATGTAGACCAGGCTGGCCTCAAACATGCAGAGACGTACATGCCTGTCACAGCCATTCAGTCACTTTAGGCTCCGGACTCCATATGTCAGATAAGATACTCAACATAAAAACAGGCTTAACCACCTATTGATGTAAGTTTTCTTAGCATGTTTAAGGCCAGGTAAAGCTGTTCTTTGGGCAGGTGTGACGGTAACTTCTTGTTGCTATGACGAAACCTGGCAATCAGAAGGAGGATAGATTTATTAGGCTCTAGATGGTTCAGTCTGTGGTCACGTGGCTTCATATACCATGTGGCTGTGGTGACAGCATGGTGGCAGGAGGTCATGCTGGAGCAGAGCTTTTCACCTCACAGCAGCTGGGAAGCAGAGAGAGAGCAGAGGAAGGGTCTGTGGCAAGATGTGCCTTTCCTTGAAAGCCTCATCCCAGTGACCTCCAACAAGGTTCAAACTCCCTAGAGCCCACCCAGCCATCAATGGAGCAATACAGCAACCCAGTTAGTAGCTTTCCTATACAATAATGGCCAAAGCTGGGACCAGGCCTCCAATGCACAAGCCCTTTTGGAAGGACGCTTTTGTGTATACACTGCAAGAACTTCTGAGATGTATTAAAGGGTTTTGTTTTTGAGGGCACAGTCAGTAAACTGCTTGCCAAACAAGGGTGAGAGCTTGAATTCAATCTCCAAGACCCCATAAGAAAGCTGGGGTGTACACTTGTAGTCCCAGCAGCTTAGGGCTTGCTGGCCAGCTAACCTAGCCTAGCTGGTGAGTTCCAGGCCAGTGAGAGACCTTGTCTGAATAAAAACAAGCTAGATGGGTCTGGAAGAAACCCCCATACCTATACATATGTAAGAGGCATTTTTGATGGATAGGATTTTCAACTTACGTGAACTTATCTGGCCACAGCTCTGTGGTAAATTAAGGAGCATTTGTAATCAGAGATATCCAGGAAATCTCAATCTGTAGAGTTAGGTACCTGGAGTTCTAGTCCACTGTCTGTACCTCAAGGATCATGTTTGAGAAGCCCCTGGAGGTATCTGTAGTACTGTGGCTGTGGGCAGCTCCTGACTCCACTCTTTTCTTTGCTAGGCCCAGCTTTGTCCCTCAGCCATTCTCTACTCCCTCCTCTGTCCCCTCCATAGGGCAACACAGACTACTTCTTGAGCAGTGGTGACAAGATTCGATTCTTCTTTGAAAAAGGCGTTTTTGACAAGAAAGGTTTGGAGTGGGCCTCTGGAGATATGAGGGTTGGGGGGCTGGATCAGGGCAGCTACGTCCTGGGGCTGGGAGACAGCTGAGACCAGCCAACTGTGGGAAGATGGACTCCAGGTCTTCTGCCTTTGTTTTGCTTGTGTGTGTCACAGGAAATTTCTTGGTCCCACCAGAGAACTCTATCAACAAAATTGGCCACGGTGAGCAGGGGCCTGGGAGTGGAGAAAATAAAGTAGGGCAGCTGAGATCTGAAGAGTTGAGGAGACTCAAGACCTAAGCCCACCATAAGATGGTAGCTGGTTGGGTGGTGGTGGTGTACATCTTTATTCCCAGCACTCGGAAGGCAAAGGCAGGTGGATCTCTGTGAGTTTGAGGCCAGCCTGGTCAACAGAGCAGGTTCCAGGATGGCCAGGGCTACAGACAGAGAAAGTCTGTCTCAAGAAACAAAGCAAAAAGATGGCAGCTGGCCATGTGACATTCTGGCCACAGGCTCTCTCTCCTCTGCACCTTTTGATACTGAGCACTGGGAGAGGGCTCTACCTGTGTGGCCCCCAAGATGGGCAGTGCAAGCTCTTCCACTCTCTAATGCCTGCCCTGGGAATGATCCCTGGGCATGTGGGTTCTAGCTCCAGCTACTTCCTGGAATTTCTTTGAAGAACATCCCAGTCCTTATTCTAAGACAAGTATGCAAACTCTTAACTTTTTCTCAGGATGACACATTACAATTTATTTTTAGACTTTTTTAATTACACATTTACTTTTTAATTTCTCTCTCTCGTGTGTGTGTGTGTGTGTGTGTGTGTGTGTGTGTGTGTGTGTGTAAGTGTGGGTATATATCAGCATGGGTTTGTCATGGAGGACGTGTGGAGGTCTGAGACAACCTATAGGCATCACGTTTTTCCTTCTGCTGCGAACTTAGGTTGTCAGGCTTGGTGCCAGGTATATTTACCCATTGAGGGCTCATTGGCCCTTTTTTTATTTTGTTTTTCCTTTCGTTTTTTGTTTGTTTGTTTGTTTTTTTTCTTTGACAAGGTTTCATTGTATAATCCCGGCTGGCCAGAACCTCCTGCCCCAGCCTGCGGAGTTCATTTAGGGATTAACTGATGTGGACCATGATACTAGTTCATCATCACCATTTCAAAGTATATAACTCAGTGACATTGAGTCCATTCAACCTTTTTTTGTAATAACAATTGCAGGTGCTTATGAGGAGGGGCTGTCTCAGGGTAGGATCTGGGCTGCTGTTGCACGTTGCTTCGCCCACGGAGTCCTGTGGCACCCCTGGGGACACAGCTGTTCTTCTCACCACCCACAGTATAGAGGAGACTGAGGCTGACAGGACACGCCTAGCATCTGCAGTTCTCATAGAGGAGGTGGCAGTACTGAGATGGCTACTAAGAGACAGCCTCTGCCGGTCCTTTTTACTCCATGAGGTGTGGGGAGCCAGGGCTGGAATGAGGTCTCTAGGTGGCCAGAAGGTCAGGAACAAGGTCTTGGGCAGGCTGGAGGTATAGCTAGCTGAGTTGGTGGAGTGCTTCCCGAGTACACACGTGAAGCCCAGGGCTTAATCCCTAGCACTGTGTAACACTCAGGAGATGGAGGCAGGAGAATGGGAAATTCAAGGTCATTCTCTGGTACATAATAAGTCCAGACCATCCTGGGGTACATGAGACCTTGTTATAAAAGCAAAATAAAACAAAAAAGGAATGAGGTGGGGGGTAGATGGAGGATCAAGGTGTCTGTGGCCCTTTACTTAGTTATAAATAAGCCTAACGCTTAAATGAGGTGAGGATTCCAAGTGAGGCCTGAGTCTAGTGCCCAGGATACGGGTGGGATGTACAGGGGCAATACATAAATAGCCCACGAACCCATTTCTGACCCTCAGCTCTGCATGCCCATGACCCGGTCTTCAGGAGCATCACACACTCTCCCAAGGTGCAGGTGAGTGGAGGGGGAGGGGGAGCGGGAGCCGAGGGTGGGAAGAGGCAAAGGGACAGGCCAGCCATGTGGCTCTCCTCTTTGTCTAGGCTTTGGTGAGAAGTTTGGGCCTCCAGATGCCGGTGGTGGTGCAGAGCATGTACATCTTTAAGGTGAGACTGTTCATACAGAGCATTCTCTTACAGCAGAGCTGGGGTCAGGCTGCCGGGAGGACACGTGAGGCCAGCCTCTGGCGGAGCTGCTTCACACGATACAGATGCTCAGTTAAAACATGATAGGAGAAGGAAAGGGAGCCCAGTCTTCCTTGTTCTATTGAATGCTCCACTCTCAGCTCTCAAGGGCCACCTCAGTGCCACCTTCTCTAAGTAACTGTCTAAATTCCTGGGGAAAGAGGGTCCCACATCTGACTTTGGGGTGAAAGGGTCCAATCTCAGGCCTGTCAAAGCCTGTCCTGGCCATCACTGGGTTCTGTTTCTGGTCTTGTAGATTGAGTACTTGAGGTAATATAGATCTCAAACGCCTTTTGGGTAGAGTGATTTCTCTTTGCAACCCTCCTAGACCGAGCACACAGAAGGTACTCAGAAGACGGGTGCTAGTGCAGGGTTGTAGGACCCGTAAGACTCAGATTAATCCCCTTTCTGATGTCCTCCATCCTCACCAGCTCCTTTCTCTCTCTTGCAGCAACCTCATTTTGGTGGCGAAGGTGAGCTGAGGTGGGTGCTGTGGGGGTCAGCAAAGGCCTCGGGCTGTAGATGGGACATCAGTAGCCACCAGGTGTTTGAAGGGAGGAAAAAAGTTTCCTCAGGGTCTGTAGAATGGGCAAGAACCTGGGCCAGGGAGGAACAGCCACCTTCCATCCCTGCCAGTAGATTGGGGAAGGGTCCCTAGAGCTTTTGATATAGTAGTCCCAATTCCAATAGGAAACCTAGCTGATTGAAAACAGAACCCTTGGTCCTTCTCCCTGAGATCTTTTCGTTGTTGTTCAACACAGGGTTTTACTGTGTAGCCCTGGCTGTCCTGGAACTCACTGTAGATCAGGCTGGCCAGGAACTCACAGAGATCCACCTGCCTCTGCCTCCTGAGAGCTGGGATTACAGGTATATGCTACTATGCATAGCTTAAGAAATTGGTCTTCTTTCTATGTTCCTTCCTTTCTTTAATGTATTATTTATTTTTATTTTATGTGCACTGGTGTTTTGCCTGCATATATGTCTGTGTGACAGTGTCAGATCCCCTGGAACTGGAGTTGCAGACAGTTTATGAACTGTCATGTAAGTTCTGGGAATTGAACCTGGGTCCTCTGGAAGAGCAGCTAGTGCTGTTAATACTGAGCCATCTCTCTAGCCTCATCCCTGTTTTTAACAAAATCTCAGTTGTTCAGTTTTACCAATTAAGACTTGGGAGCAGATGCTGGGGTGAAAGCCTGCTAGCTAGGAGAGGCAGAGAAAGCACCCAGCTGACCTTCCTCCTCAGTGGATATACCAGAAGAAAATACCTCCAGTGCATTCAAAAGACCTTCAAACTAAATGTTCCTCCCTTCTACTTACTGTGTGTGTCTATCTGTCCTCTTGACTTCCTCTTCCTCTCTATGTTTTTTCTCTTAATAATCCTATGTTCACTTCCTGTCAACTGGTTGACTTTATTTAATTCTGTTTACAATATTCAAGCAGAAAACTCTTGGATTGAAGGTGTGTGTTAGGGCTGAGCCACACCACAACTAGAAACAGGCTTTTTTAGTAAATTACCCAATCTCAGGGTTCCTAGTGTGATCAAATATCCTGCAACACATCTCCCCTTTTTATCTAAATAAAAAAGGAAAGGTTTTAACTCTAACACAGCAAAACCATATACAATAATGAAGCTATTTCTGCCACGCTTTCCACAAAGTCCAACTTGGTTGTATTTGGCAGTCTTAGGATTAAGTGTTCTTTAGTTAAAAGTTCTGTAAAATGTTCCTGTTAGTCTCATATGAACACAGCGATCTGAATGTCCTAAGTAGTTTATAGTCTGAAGCTGAGCTTTGAGTGGTGTTTGTCAGCTTAGTGGCAATCCTGGCTAGGTAGAACACACAGTCAACCCAAAGGTGTCCACTGTTTGTATAGAACCTGGGGGAGAAGAGGCATGGGGCAGTTTTTTTCTGAGTGGTTAAGCGTTACAGTAATCCAGGTGGATTCACTGTTTCAGGCCCCATCATCTTCTTGAATACCTTAAAGGTTACTGTTAGGGATGGTCATGGTTTATTGTAGAAAACTTTTTAAATGCCATACTCAGCAAATCTCTGAAAGGTTTGAAGTACATTTGAGTTATATAAACTTTGTTCCTAGTTACCTGCCTCAAACCTGAAAAACATACAGGAAGCTAGACAGAGCTTATTTCTAGAATTAGTTAGCACTCTGTTTAACTACTAGTATCACAACAAAGTTTATATATATATAATAATCTTACAGGTTTTGAGGTACTATTTATACCTTAAGAAAAGTTTTTTTAAACTTTCATTGGCTGATTCTTTTATTTTATGATTTTAAAGAAAAGTTTTAAAGAGTCAAATGGAAACAAAAAATTATGAGATTAGTCCCTTATTTTTTGTTTTCCTCTGTCCCATACCAGGTGGCTCTTCTGATAGGAGACAGAGATTTTGGATTTTCCTTTAACAAGCATGCATGGGTTTAGGGAAGGAGAGAGACACCCTCCAACCCCAAAGCCAGCTTTATTTTTTTAGTTGAATCGGGGCTGTTTTTCTTGGGCCCTATTCTTTTGATGGTCCATCCTCTTTCTTCAGATGTTTCACTTGTCCAGTAGTCTCCAGATTCCTTAATTGGATGCTTTTATTCTCCTGCAAAGATAAAAGCAAACCCCTGCCCTAACCCTAACTCTAGGAGCCTCCTTTTTGTGTGTGTGTGTGTGGGGGGGTGTAGGTTATATCTTTCCTAGGGCAAAATAATTTTTTGGCAACAGAAAAAGTGTTGTCTTTCAATTGAAATGTTAGGACTGGCGCTGTGGTGCACTCCTATGATCCCAGCACTCTGGGAGGCAGAGGTAGGTGGATCTCTGAGTTCTCTGCCAGCCTGCCAGCCTGGTCTACAAAGAGTCTAGAACAGCCAAGGCTACACAGAGAAACACTATCTTAAAAAAAAAAAAAGTATCAATTGAAAAAAAAAATATTTTGAAAAATTGAAACTAAATGTACCTTTGTATGTGTGGATAAATATAGCTATAGTCCTTTTCTTTATATATACATTCAAGGTTTAAGTGTATTTCTTTTTAGATCACAAATGACATTCACTCTGAATTTCACCCTGCTTTTTACATTTAAATCACTGTAATTCTTAACTGCCTGCCTTTGCCTTTCAAGTGCTGGGATTAAAGGTATGAACCTGACTATGGATTCCTTATAATAGTTATTTTCATAGGGTTGTCCTGGTTTAATTTGGCTCTCCATTTGTTTCCCCTTATTTTTTAGTATTAGGAGTAAACTTTCAAGTTTCTCAAAAATATAATCTATCATTTTTGCTGATTTATTCTGAATTTGTTCCCTGGTAAATTTAAATATTCTAGTCTCAATTAAACATGATGGCAGTTTGTCCACTATTTCATTATTTTCAGACATTTTGTCTGTTTTTCCTGTATGAGCTAGATAAAATTTGATGTCTTTGCTAAGTTTTGCCATTTCCATTCATTCCTCCCATGACTGGATATCTTTGTCATTTATCTGCCAATTAGTGGATTTCCATTTTGATGATCGTATAGCTATACCATTGCCCATGCACCATGAATTGGAGTAGACAGAGATTTTCCTGCTTTCCTAGTTGTTTGTCTTGGTGCCAATAGTGCTGCATTGATTTTTTTGGGTGCTGCCACAGAATTGGCCATTCCATCCCCCGGTTTATAGGCTGCCACTTTCCATCAGTTTTCTTTCTTTCTTTTTTTAAATATTTTTATTTATTTAACTTTATTTTATATGCATTGCTGTGAAGGTGTCAGATCCTTTGGAATTACAGACAGTTGTGAACTGCTGGGAATTGAACCCGTGACCTCTTGAAGAGCAGGCAGTGCTCTTAACCACTGAGCCATCTCTCCAACCCCAGTTTTGTTTCTACCAGTGGTTGATAAACCATCAGTAAGCCATGTGTCAACCAAATGTTGTGACCATTCTGTTGATCCTCACACATGTCCTGGTTTCCATTATTAGGTCAACACAGCTTTAAAATATACATGTTGGTTTAATTCAGCAGGTTTTTTCCCTATTATCCAATGTCTCTCTGCAGCTGTTGTTCTTTTCTCATTAGCATTTAAAAACTTTAAAGTTACCAAAGCACTGTGTAATCTGTCTTTGGGGGTTTATTACCTCTCTCTATTGATTAAGTTTGCCTTTTAAAACGCAATTAGATCTTTCTATAACGGCTTGTTCTGTAGGATTGTGTCGTTTATCTGTAATATGCTTTATGTTAGAAGATGCTGTTTAATTTTATAGAGACGTTTGCTGGAGCACTGTCAGTCTTAATTTGTGCGTGTATCCCATAAGAGCCATAACTTCTAATAAATGTGTAATTACAGAATCAGCCTTTTCAAAACTTAAAGCAACTTCAAGTTGCCCATTGAAACCTAAATATGTATCTATGGTATATATGGTATACATACTTTTCCAAACTCTGCAAAAGGATACATATCCATTTGCCAAATTTTATTTCTTTGGGTACCTTTTGTGTTGCTTCCTGTAATGGAGTTTGGTTGTACAAAGAACAAGTAGGACATTTCCTTATAATTTCCTTGGCTTGTTGCCAAGTGATAGAAAACTCTTTCTTCAAACCATTGCTGTTTTGTGTTTCTTATGAAATGCTGAAGCTTCTAGAATATTTCCTATTAATTAGCTGATTAATCTTATCATTACCTTGTGCTAGAGGGACTAGTAGCCCCATATGAGATCTGATATGTGTTATATACAATGTATGATTTCTATTTCTAATTGCTTGTTGTAGTTGAATAAATAATGATGCTAATTCTGAATCACCTGGAATAAGTTTCTATCTGTAAAACAACCCTTTCTGCATATAATTAAAGGAACCAGGAAAATCTAGTAACACCATAGAATGGCATACAGCTCTGATTTTTTTAAACTGAATCACAAGGGCTTTGAGCCACTTTATTTTTTTCTGATTTTATATCCTGCCTTTCCTGATTTATTTGCATCAGTATGGAATGTAGGGGCTTTAGAAATTGGAGAATCCAATTAGTTCTTTTTATGAACGGAAGGAGCTTGTTTTGGGGATATTTGTTGTTAATCTTGCCCCAAAAATTACTGTAAGCTCTTTGCCAGTGTTCCTTTTCTGCCCATAATGAGGCAATTTCAGTACTAGTAAAAGGTACCTACAATTTCTGCTGGGTCTATTCCTGCTAATTGACAAAGTCTTATTTTTCCTTTCAGAATCAATTCAGAATTTTCTACATAGGTCTTTAATTTTTTTACTCTGTTTGTATGCTAAAGATACTCATTCTAAGATATTCTGTCTGCATAAGAATTCCTGTGGGAGAATGAGTAGAGGCAGAAAAACCGAAATACAATCCAGCAGCTTTGTATCCAAGCGATCCACACGCGCATCCTTTAGTCTCTTTTCTTCCAGAGCCAGTTCTCTCAGCCTTAGCTGATAGTTTTCTTGGACTGTTTAAGACTTTATCACCTTGTAAAGTTTGAAATAAATTACTTAG